ATATCAGCTAACTGATAAGACTTGGACTTTCGTGATAACAGAAATTCCGTTTCATAATAATGAAGCTATTTGATTTCTAATGCCATTTCATGTTCTTGAGGAATTAATGCGATTAAGTTTTCTTATACAGAATAATAAAATATTCTATTTTATAATAATTAAAATATTTTATTTTTATTGCCATTTGAAGCTACTGTAGAATTTTTGCATTTAAGTTTAGTAATGTGGATAAATAAAAAATTCTATTGTATTATTTAATAATGAAACCATTTTAATTTTAATACCATTTCATGTTCTTGAAGAATTATTGCATTTAAGTTTACTTATGTAGAAAAATCAAATATTCTATTCTATAATAATTAAAATATTTTATTTTTAATGCCATTTGAAGCTACTGTAGAATTTTTGCATTTAAGTTTACTTATGTGGAAAAATAAAAACTGTTCTATAATAATGGAACTATTTTATTTTTAATGTCATTTGAAATTATTATAGAATTTTTTCACTTTAGTTTTCTTATGTAAACAAATAAAAAATGCAAAATAATTTTTTGCAAATGAAACAAAGGAATGTTATAAATTTGAAGTAAAAAGAGAATGTTTCTCATTTATATTCAATTATTAAAAAAAGAAAGAGAGAGAATTCCAACCAAATAACTTTGAAAATAATAAAATTTAGCCTAACATCATACATTACTTTTCGAATTAAAATTTAATTTTGAATTCCCACGGAAGGATCAGATCCAGCAATAAAGTGTTTAAAAGAAACTACCGCGTTTGAACAACAAAGGTCCACATATAATAATCATTCCATTCTGCATACGATAATAAAACTCGAAACAGGTGTGCTTGAAAGTTTTTGGGAACATTAACTGTTACGTTTATATGCACGTAACGCGTTTATAAATTATTGTCATAGCTGGAAGCGTTGCTTTCAGCTTCGAATACGAACTCTACGATAAAAAGACAAGCTTACGTATCGTGCTTTGTAATAAAATTTTCATCTGGTCATAGAGCAAGGATAACAAAGCTCGACGAGGGTCAATTTAATTATTCCCCTGCGATGCGAGCTTGAAAGAGTTCTATAAAGAAAACACAAATCTCTTTTCTTTTCCTTTTTGTTGCAATCGATATTCTCGTGTGTTCTGTACACAAATGTAAAAAAAAATCTGATGGATATAGTAAACTCTGTATTATTAATAGAATATTTTTTATTTCGAAGAAATTTTTTCTTCTTTTATTATTATACTTTCGCGCTAATTTTCAAATACTAAAAGCGCGGGAAAATATTGAAATTTAAAATAGCAATTAAGAAAACGTAATGCTGCAGGTATTTATAATTTTTGGAATTTGATTTGTAATTTATAACAATATTCTTCTAAATTCATTTCTTTTTTATAACCCTCATCAGTTTTATGCTCGCGATTACGCGTTCAATCACCCATTGAGAAAAGAAACTTCGGGTCTTAAAAACATACTGCTCAAGTATCATTTCGTTTAATGATGCTGGTATAAAAATGTTAATGCCGAACGTGAACAGGTGCGAGTGTATAAAACACGTATGTATTTCAATGCCACCTCGAAATAGGTATAAAAAAGATAAAAAGGGAGTAAAAAGAATCATTTGCGTTTCTCGTGAAATATTTCAGCAGTAAATTTTAAGTATCTCCGCACGAAATGTTAAAAAATTTTTCAAATTCAATGAAAAAGCTTTTCGCATGAAAAATTTAAAACATTCCGTTTGAATTGTTAATGCAAATCTGGAAATGAATTTGTCATCTGCAAAGGACCGATTTACTACGTTTCAAAGATTCTCGTCTTTTCGAAGGTTTATAAATAAAACATCAAAACGATATTTTTACAACGATCCTTTTCTCAATTTCATTTTTTGTTACTTCCCGACGATTCTGAATATAAAAGGAAAACCGTGTCTCGATCGTTTCTGTCTCTGTTTTGCTATCCATTTCGATTCACCTTGGACAGTGACGGACCGAGTTGATTCCCAAAGAAATCCACCCAGCTACTTTATTTCTTCTATCCACTCGAGAAAAAAGATCCTTCTCTGATCTTATTGGAATATATTTTGATGATTGAATCAAAGGTTGATATTCAGATGAAGAAAACAAAAAAATGTTTTCGTCTGGTGTAAGGATGTTTTTGCAATTCGCTCTTTTGTTATATAGTCAGATATTAAATATTAATATGTTAATTATATTAAAATATTGGAACGTTAAATGTATACGATAGGATACATTATAATTAAAGGGTTAGATGCAAAAATCAGGCAGCTCCATTTTTTGTAGAAATTGAAATTTTATGATAGAGTAATGTATACAATTATTGATCTCTAATTAATGATTGACTCTTTTTTCAAAAAATATAATGCGTTTTTGATATAATAAACTATAATTAAAATGTTGGCTTTCTATGTGGTCCGCTGTCTTGGGGTTCTCTACATGGTCCGCCATCCAATTTCTTACTGTATTAGGAAAAGAGCTAATCATAAGGATTAATTGTACACGTTAAGAAAAAATTTCTTAATTCCTGTAAAATTAGTAAAAATAGAGCTGCTTGAGTCTTGCATCCAACCCTTTAATTACTATTATTCATATTATAATTCATCACCACGTGGCATTTTGTATGATTAATAAAATTTTCATTGCAAACAATACAACATTATTTTACCACTAATTCGTTCATATTGTTATTTCAAATGATTTGCAAATATTAAACCCCTCATTCAATGTTCAACTTCTCTAAATACCAAAACTACCCTTGTGTTCCAAAGCCTGGAGTCCATAATATTAATTTTCAATCATGAAACCAATTTAATTAATTAATTGCATTGAAAAATGAATTTGATTGATTCCTACTAAATATGATTATTTCTTATTATAACAACAATCAACGTATTAAATCTTTCACATTGCTTCCCATAACGTTAAGCACTCTATTCAATTACAACCCCCATTAAAGATATGGAAAAGATCATTGAACCTGTCCTTCAAAACGAACGCCTGACGACGTTCAGGGACGAGTATCGATCAATCACCTTCTTTCTTATCTGCCATCGCGAACAAATCACCCGTCATCTTTCCGTGTCACCGTTGTCACCTTAATATTAATCCGCCGCTTGGATCTGTCGCGTCGGTTTCGACAGATATCTGAAAAGCCTACCAGAAATTTTCTCATGATTTTCCTTTATCTTTAATTCAGTATAATTACCTCAATTTGTACACTTGTGATCAAAGCAGGTTCCTCTAGGAAAAATGGCGATGTCCTCTTCCCAAGGTTCTCCAGGCTCTCACCTTGTCCCATGGGTGGCCACAGAGAGAACTATGATGGACAGAGAAGTGCCCCATACGTACAGGGTGTCTCATTTAAGTGGGGCAAGCTATAGCCCCACTTAAATTATTTATTGTAAAAGGTATTAAAAAAATGTCACAAGGGAAAGTTAAATGGCGTCGAATAGAACATAAATAGAATTGTGTATTGTGTTATACATCAATTGAAGCGTATTTTTATTCCCTATAAAAAAGTATTATAGTACCTCAGTGGAAAATTGATTATTTCAGAAGATATCTTTCGGTCTAATAAATTTTTTACCCTAGTACCTTAACAGTTTTTTGCAGAGAATTAGAAAATGCTTCGATTGATGTATACTATGGTACAAAATTCCAATATAATTTTTAAAAGATTTTGAAGCTACTTTCATTTTTTAAAATGAAATTTTGTACTTTACTATACATCAATCCAATTATATTTCAATTCTCTACAAAAATGTATTAAGGTACTTGGATGGAAAAATGATCAGTTCGAAAGATATCCTAGGGAGAGACAGGGAGAGATTGACGGTCTCTCCCTAAGATAACTTTTGAACTAATCAATTTTCAACCCAAGTACCTTAGTAATTTTTTATAGAGAATAACAAGATGTAGAATTTGGCATCAAGGAAAGTACAAAATTTCAAAAAAATTTTCTAAATTAGAAGAACCCAAGTTTCTTCCTAAGATATTAGACTTAAATACTATAATACTCTTTTATAGGAAATAAAATTAAGGTATAGAAAAGTATACCTATACATACTTCCATTTAAATAAAATAAAATGGACTTTAAAATCCTTGAAACGCCTCCACTTCCGGTACAGATACATGCATCACATGGAACTCCATTCGATGACATTTAATTTCCTCGTGGCATTTTTTTTTATATTTCACTCTCTGAAATTTATAGCTTGTTCCATTTACATAGGACACTCTGTATATACCCGTAGCCTCCAACTATTTGCGTATGAACATTTACGTCGGGAATTTGAATTAATATTTATTTTGTTATTCATACTTTTCAATTATACAAATATTTAGTAATTAAAAGTCGTATTATTCTGTTTCTAAATTACTATTAACACTAGAACTACCAAACCAATCAAATTTCATGTACATTCTATCAAGGTATTATTACTGAAATGTGCATATTGATTATTGTTGAGATAAAGAATAAATCCCTTATCTATTTATTTCCTACATTATTTTCAACTTAAAAATTAGTGTGCATCGAAAGTCGATAGTTCTAATGTTAATATTAATATTCTCAAAATTATGATTTTGAGAATATTTGCTCTCCCTATATCTTCATTTTTCTTAGGGAAACCTAATCTGGTCACGAGTGTACATCATAATAATCTTGATAAATAAAAATTAAATAATTTCACGTGTACTCACTTTTATCACCGTAAAACAATGAAATAACTTTTCGACAATTCACCTATTCTTTTTTCCATCATTCTCTGATGAGAAACTCGTAGACTCATGAAAATTGATGAAGACCCCAATAGCCTCTACCAGGGTTGATAACTTTGTACCTCGTTCCATTGAACGGTGTCAGATGGAAAAGCTGTTTGAAAGGACGAAAATATAGGTCATTACTCACTTATTTTACCATCCAGGCTTTCGTTCGAAGCTGCTGCAGCTGGCTGGATATATGATCACAGAAAGAAAGCATTTTGATACTCGTATGCTGCACACGTTAGCACAACTTCTCTTTATTTTTCTGAATACTTTCTTCGGATAATAGTCTCTCGCTAGTCACGAAAGTTTCGACGCCCGTTCACAACGGGCTTCGCATCGCGTCAGCTAGTATCACGCGAAACTTCATTCTCTTAAGATTAGTCGTTCGACTGGGAGCGACGAACAAAGGGTTCCGGGCCAACTTTTCACTGGACGCGGATGAAAAATGATTTTTCATAAGAAACTAATGAAAATAAAAATTTAAACCCTTATCTATTAATTTTGATTTTATTCGAAATTCTTTTAATTTCTTCTCACGAATAAAAAAAACGAATTTTTTCATATCGTGCAGAGAAAAGTTGGCTGTAAAAGGAAAATAATCGCTCTCGATGATGACAGGTTTTACATCACTATTTCACTTCTCGTCGGCTCGATTTACATTGAAGCTACGACTGCGATTTAACACATACTCTTTGGTATAATTACACAGAGTCGGAGGCGTTGTCTAATTGGAACTGTGTCTAAACCGTGAATACTAGAAACGGAAGCCCAATTGAAAATCACTATGAACTAGGGATGTGCGGGTATCCGATATTACGGGCTCGGGCGGGCTCGGGAAAAATCGGGCGAGCTCGGGAAAAGTCGGCCGGGCTCGGCCGGGCGTCTGACGCATGCGTACAGTTGGGTGACTCGACTATTTCGGGTTCAATTTTGATCATTATACATTCTTGTTATTTTAAATGGTCCTGTTCAATTACAATCAAATTTTTAAGTTCTTTGAGTAAATAAACATCATTTACATTAAATTTATGTGGATTTACATTTTTATCATATAATAATTTGCTTTTCTGCTTTGCTCCTTCCAAGTTTGCTGCTACTGAAGCTTGAGTTCTACTAATTCTAGAAAACAAATCATCTAGATAACCAATGAAAGTTCGTGGAGGTTCTAACCTAGCAAATTCAGAAGGAATAATAGCTTTTACACCAAACACTAATTCATAAGGTTTGCAACCACCAGTGGCTTCATGCACTGCAGTATTGTATGAGAAAATACCAAACCTAATCCAATCATCCCAATTATCTTTGCTGCAATAATGTTTTAAATAATCTATGAAGACGCGATGTATGTGCAAAATCTGTTTTATATGGAATTTTGGAATAAGATAATTTGGGAGCTCGTCCGAGTCTGCCCGACTGTACCCAACCAAACCCGAAATAGTTGGACTACTCGATTGCGCGCGTCTATTGGACGCCTGCCCGAGTCCGCCCGATGTTTTCCGAACCGACCCGACTACTAGGCGGGCCGCACACCACTACTATGAACGCTTCGACCAAGTGATCCGTGTGTATTTACATAGAAAAATAAAGTCGACGCGTCGAATGGAACACTTGCGTATAGAAAAAATCAAATTTCCCAGCGGCTTCGCTCGAAATTTACGATAAAATACCAGAATTGAATTTTATATCAAAACGTCGCTTCCCTTTTCCAATTTGCAAAACAATAAATAATTTCTTCTCGTTTCAAGAATTCTATCGAAAGTTTCCAATAAAAATACTCCTCGAAAACTGTGATAATCGATTGGAAATCGGTGCTGTGTTTCAAAGCGTTCTCCAGAAACATGAAACAGCAATTTGTGCACTAGCTTGTCAGCCATCGACGTTGCCTAATTGCTCCAGATATAATTTCTCTTTCAATATCACAGTTTTCTGTCGATATTCTATCTACTGCACGGTTGTTATTATCGCGAACGATTTCAATGTAACGAATAGGATTAATCGGAAATTCGAGCGAATCGAGGCCGATGACGGTTAACCGAAACCAGTGACAGGGATCGATCGGAAGCAATCTTTTTCTTTCATTATCAGTATGATTTAAAATTTAATACATCCGGGGCCATCTGGGTCACATATGGACAAATTGTAATATCATGAAATTTTAAAAAGGAATATATGACTTTTAGAGATGGCAAACAAATGAATTTGTTATTTTTAATATTAACACGATCAATGGGGGTCACTGGTGACCGACATAGCAAATTACACGTACTATAATAATTAAAAAAAATTATAGAGAAATATTGTTTCAATGGTATTGATATTATACTAATAATGTAAAGTATCAAATTAAAGCTTGATATTTGAAATTTGAAAATTACCTATTTCTATTCTTAATAATTAGAGATTCAATACGACTCGTAATCAATGCCTATTTTCACTGGGACAGTTAACGTGTTAATTAATATAATTTTGATAGAAAGTTTGATCACCATATACCTTATGGAATTTTATAAATTTATAATCTTTTAATTTTGTAAATTTGTAATTTTGTACCGAACTATATTTGAAAAAATTCGATTCCTTTCGATCGATCGTCTGACAAATTCATTCGAAAAAAAGATTTCCCTTTCCTTGAACCTTCTTCGATATGCAAAATGAATAAAAGAATCGCAGCTATTTTTGGAATCTCACCAGGAACCTAACGACCTGCTTGACTAACAATGTACAATAATTACGTCGCTCTGGGGGGTTCGTGTACAAGTTAAGCAACAAACACGTTTAAACAATCACGCCTACACGACAGAACGTCGGTCATTTACAAAAACGACGATTCACGGGCACACACATTCTTCATCTCTCGCAACGTTAATTCGTCACCCAAATGTGTATATACAGTCCTCGATAAATATTGCTATGGTACATTTATACAGTCTAGACGCGTACAATAGGCCGTACGAATGAAAGTGAAGCGTTTTGCGAGTACTCTAGAAAAAATCGAGTCTCTACCGCCGGAGAGAGAATGGTACTCCTGCTCGTGGGAGAAATTAAAAAAAGAAAATGGGAAAGAGCTTTCTGCTTTCCACGACGGTTCGTTTGGTATCTGGATCAAGTGACTGTTTCATTATTACGTAAACACGGGTAAATTTGACCCTCTGCGAAATATTTTAATTGCTCGTCAAATAAGGCATTCATTTTTTCAAAGATTGCAAGTATAAGTACATGTATAATATCAGAATGCATAAATATAGAATGTAAGAAAAGAAAAAAAATATTTAGAATTTGAGATATTTTTAATTTGGGAAAAGGGGAAAAGAATCTTTCCATAAAATTAATAGAAAAAAATATTCATATATTATAATAATAATTTTTAAAGGAACCTGTAAATTTAGGAAATCAACATAATATGAAATAGAAAATTAAATTAAAATTGGGGCTCTCTCCATGGTCCGCCCTCCGAGGGTTAATATTAAATGGATAAATATTGAAATTGATTTTGAAAATATGAATGGTCACTTGATATTTTGCAATAAATGCTATCGCAGCTCGGTACCCTTCTCTCGCAATAATATCATTATTAATAATAATTGTATTGCGTTACAGATAATACAGCGTTTGTTCTAATTACACCTAGGTAGCACTGGTTGGCTTTATCCTACGTTTATGGTTGACAACTTATTTACAAATTCAACACGTTATCAAGCAGTCTGTGTGCTGTTTTACCTCCAGTCATTTATTCATTTCTTTCTTTTTTTATCATCTATTTTGAATGATAGATTATCAAAAAGAAGTATTGCTTCGTTTTCAATCTTATTTTACTTTCTTTTTACAAATTTACTCCCCTATTTGCAATTACTGTGCGTTCTAAAAATGAATGTTTCAGGAAATACATTTCCACTTTTAACAATGAATATTATTCTTGCTCATTAAGCAAACGATGTGTTTTAATTAATAATCAAACCTGCGTGTATTTGATTATTTTACATGTGCCTCAAGTAGATACTTGAATTATAATACGTCTAAAGAAACTTGATGAATGTGACGATTTTTAATTTAATAAATATTTCAGAAATATTTTTATAATTTTTAAAAGATTCAATTTTATATCACAATCACCTAAATTCTATTGCAAAAGAATAAAAAAAAATTATGAAAAATATGATTGATTTTAATAAATAATTCTGCAGTCGCCAATCGAATATTTGTTTGAAAATAATAAAATGAATTATAAATGTACGACAACTGAGTTCTGTCAGTACGATATAAATTCATTAAAATTTCATGATTTGACGTAGAAACATGACTGGCAGACGAACAGCACGCAAAATCTCACTTCGAACCGTTCTCCAATCTGTATAGTTTCAACGTTTAGTGGAGTACGCGTTTCCGGCACGTGATCCTTCCTCGAAAATTTGCAATTTCGTTGCGTGCCGGCGAAAGACATAGAAGAATACTTATCATTCTGCCCCCGTTTCCGCTTGTCGACAGCCAGTCACTGTCAATGGTCGCGTCGAGGCTCGGGCTTCCGGTTGCGCGCACGGTCCTCCGAATCGCCATTAATGCATGCCATTCCATTTAGCCCATCAAACCTCCATCCTGTATGAACATCTAATTAAAAACAAAAAAATTCGATTTTGCAAATTTCAGACACGAATTAATACAAATTGTTACACGACATCTTAATCCTTTTTTTCAAAAATGTGATGCAATTGAAAAAAGGATATGTATGATCCTGGAAATCAGTCAACAATGTGTTAAAGAGCGAAGAGTACGTGGTTGATGATTAAAAACGTGCTGGGGATGGTAAGCTTTCAGATCTCTGCAAAATATAATAACTGCAACAACTATGCATATTTCAATATTTTAATTTCTTATGCACTCATGTAATTTTGAAATAATAAAGGGTAATATATATAGTTGTTGACCTGTATCAAATGATTTAATATTTTTCTAAAAAGGTAGGAAAAATGTTTAACATAATACGTTTCTTAATTTTTTCTTCGGTTGTTCCATAACTGGGGGAAAGCCGTTCCTGGGGGGCAAGATCGCGGACCCCTTTACCGGCGGTACATTAGGAATTTTAACAGGTGTTACTGAAAGGGGGTTGGGAAAATTTATATAGGGTAGAAGAGTTTTCTTAACCCTCGGACGGCAGACTATGAAAAACCCCCCAAGACGGCGGACCATGGAGAGAGTCCCAATACGACAAACTATTATTATAAAGGTCACTAACTGTATACGTTCTCCATCAAATTCCTGTCGTAAATTGAAAACTTTCTTTTCCCTACTTTTCACTGAATTTTGACTTATATTCCGAACAGGACCGGATTAAGATTTCTGGGAGCCCTGGGTTATCAAATTTTTTGAGGGCTCCCTTGGTTGATAAATTTTCTTAATAATAATGAAAAAGGGAAACAGTAAAAAAGATTTAAATCAGTAAATGGACTTTTAATGAGCCCTCCTTAAATCTCCACTTAATCCGGTGTTGATTCAGATAACTAAATTATGGAACAATGGAAGAAATAATAGAATACTTCATAAAAGTGATCATGAAATTAATTTTCTTACCTAGTAACCACCAACAAGTTCCAACTGCCGTCGAATCTGGCAATAGTCTCCACTCTTCTTGTGCAAAACAATTTTCTATCCATCCATCAACGAATCACCATTGTTTCAGTTCGACTCTGGTTCTCTTCTTTGAAACATCAACGAAATCCCTCGAGAAAGTCAAATAACTCCAGCGAAACTGTCCATCTGTCCATTCGCACGCACACACATAGTTAAGAACCGAGAATCGAGTCAGGTTCCTGGCAAACTGAAACTCGATTTCATTCAACAAATTTGACGACTCGAAAATCCGACGCGCAAGAAACCGCGAGCAACGAGGGGGGGATGGGAGCTGATTGCGATCCACGTACAGGAAGCTCCTGGAAGAGAGTTTAATTCCAGTCCAGAAATGCATGAAAATCAGTCTGAAATGCCGTTGCACTCGAACGTTCGACGAAACTCTCGCTTGGCCTCCATTTTCGCGAGGATTAATTAACGTGGCCCTGATTAATCGTCGAAACGAAAACGGCTGCTCGACCCTGCTCGATTTTCTCGGTCAAGGACCACTAAGAACCGAGAATTTTTCCTAAATACATTGCCTCGTGTCCTTGGAAAATTCACTGAATTCGTTAAGAACCATCTGTTTGAAAAGTTTACATAACTACTATCAAAAGTACAGGGCTTTTCAATTTTGATACAACTGATTAAAAATATAAAATCATATTTCTTTTTCTAAAAAGTTTTACAATTTGAGTTCCAGGTTCTTTCAGGATTCTTCTAATACTTCTAATTCTTCTAATTAGTGAAAGAAAAGGTGGGTGGAGGAATCTTTCATTTGCCTTTGATCTTAGGAGAATCTTAGCAGAACCTAGATCCTAGGTCCTAGGTTCCCAAGATAGATAAAAGAACTTTTCACAATTTGTTTTTGATTTTAGAAAAATTCTAGGAGAATGTCGTCAAACAAAATGAAAAATCCATCGTTCGATTATTCATTGGCACCCAACGAACAGGTGCAAAGGAGCAGGCGGGTGATTTTCAACACCCTGAGGACTTGGACAATCGTTCGCTGAAGAAATTGATAACAACTTCCGTTGTGGATCGCAAGGAACGTGCTCGACGCGACTGTTCACGGGGGTTTTTCTCGCTAGACGAACTGAGATGGTGTTTTCCAACAACTGGCACAGCATGGTAAGGCGCTCTTCAGGGTGTCCTTGAAGGCCTCGCGGAAGTCGCGGTTGAAGTACGCGTAGATCAGTGGATTCAGGGCGCTGTTGAAGTAGCCTATCCAGAAGAGGACGGACACCACCGTGTCTGGACAGTAGCAGGCCTCGCCGCACAAGGTCGTCGTTAGATACCTGAAACAAATAATTATTCAGGTGTTATTCAAGATAGTAGACTGTGTTTCCAAATGGTAAGAATGTTATCAGGATGAAAATTATCAGCTGGGTAATTTTCACTTGAATTACCTAAGTTTTCAAGTAGGGAAAGATGAAATAATTATTTTTTGCTTCTTTTATTAATACATGCAGGTTTTTATTGTTATTCCATCTCTGCATATCGGTCGGGATTAAAACAGCATGGTAGAATAAATATTAACTAAAATATTGGAAACATAAAATTAAATCAAAATTTCTCAATTGTAGCTGAAGTAAGTTTTCAAGTAGGGAAAGATCAAATAATTATTTTTTGCTTCTTTTACTAATACATGCAGGTTTTTATTGTTATTCCATCTCTGCATATCAGTCAGTATTAAAACAGCATGGTAGAATAAATATTAACTAAAATAATGGAAATATAAAATTGAATCAAAATTTCTCAATTGCAGCTTGTAATATTTTCACATCATATATTAGTAAATAAAAAGTTTCATAAGTATAAGGATTGCATGGGAAGTAAATTTTAGTATTTATAAAAGAGCAGAATTTAATATCTCATAGCGATTTAGAATGATTTTAATATTAATTTAATTTAATTATTATTTATTTACATAAGATTATATGGGGTGGGATGATCGTTTTGTCCTACAATTAATTTATGTCAGAGTCATCAGAGTTATATTTTCAACCCTAGGATGGCGGACCATGTAGAGACTCCCAAAACTCTAATTTAATTCTAATTTATTAATATCATATTATTTGTAAATTGTAATTTAATTCTATACTTCACACTACTTTCATTTTCTAAATTTTACACTTTTCCTTTAAAAGTTATTCTCCTAGTACCTGAAACTCTTTTGTTAAAAAATCATACATTTTGCTACATTTTTTTTTATATAAGAAATAAAACAATTATACTTATTTTCGCTTACGATATCTATCTCAACCCTTCTTCCCTTAGACTGCAATTTTCAAAGAAATTAACCCAACCACTTTAAAAAACAATTTTTATTTTTATTTTTGTTCCCTGGCTGAAAGTTGACATCCTGACCATGATTAATGCAGCTCCATTATCCGAGGGTAGTATATCCAATTTTCATTTATAAATACATAGCAGCGAATCATTCATTATAGAAAATTGATGAGAAATAAATGGAAAATGAAATACAACTGAATTTTCAATCAAATGAACGAGCTACATTTTAAATGAAAATGATTGTGGCCCATCAAGAGTGGTTTTCGAAAAGCCACAGTAAATGGAGAAACAATCCGTCTGTATAGTTGTTTCAATTTTCAATGGAACATCGCTATTACGTATCTCGTTGCAATGAAAATACCACGATTAATTAATTCTCGTTCGACGAACAACCCCACATTAGCTGGCATTACGTTCCTCGTTCAGGATTCAATACGAAGGGTCACGATTCAGAAACGCGTTAATTAGAAATCTGGTCATTTCCGAATCTTCCACTAATCTGACTTTCAATAAATTGTAACATTTTCCCAATCTCCCATTTGCTTCTGCAAAGTCACAGATATGTACATGTAGATTAATTAATTCACGAGGAGGACACTAATGGAAAACAGGTGAATCTGACCCTCTGCGAAATATTTTAATTGCTCATCAATAAAGTATTCATTTCAGAATGCATAAATACTGATAGTCTATTATTGCATTATATTTTTGAAAAAAAAAAAAGAAAAGATTTAGAACTTAAGATATTTGTAATTTGAGCAAAAGGGAAGAAAAACCTTTTCATAAAAATAAAAATTCATGAAACATTCCATGATTTAATGAATTTCATATATTATAATAATAATTTTTAAAGAAACAGTATAGAATTTAAAAAGTGACCATAATATGAAACACAAAATTAAATAAAAATTGGGCCTCTCTCCATGGTCCGTCATTTCCAAATTTTTCACCAATCTGACTTTTAACAAAATTCTACCATTTTTTCCAATTTTCTATTGGCTCTTCCAAAGCAATAGATAAGTTAATTCATTCACGAGAAATATACTAATGATTGGTATCACGTGGAATCTATTAGGATTAGAATCTAACCGAATGATGATCATTCCATGATTTAATGAGTTTCATATACTATAATAATAATTTTTAAAGAAACAGTGTAGAATTTAAAAAATGAACATAATATGAAACACAAAATTAAATAAAAATTGGGCCTCTCTCCATGGTCCGTCATTTCCAAATTTTTCACCAATCTGACTTTTAACAAAATTCTACCATTTTTACCAATTTTCTATTGGCTCTTCCAAAGCCATAGATAGCTTAATTCGTTCACGAGAAGTATACTAATGATTGGTATCACGTGAAATCTATTAGGATTAGAATCTAACCGAATGATGATCATTCGTCAAACCCGGCACCTGTTCAATTCACAGCTTAAACGGGTAGCCACTCGAAAGTTTCACGAAGTCACGGGCCAACTTCGCCTACAACTAAAACTTATTACCGGATTAAGTTGCTCAGCTTCTTGCTCCAGTCGAGAATTGATTACTTCGACGGTGGCCGCGTTAATATTCCAGACGAATTAATGGAACTTGCAAAATACGTAGGGGACAATGAATTTTTTATTCCTCGACAAGGGTACCATAATTGCTCGCCTATTGTTCGTGAAAACTTTCGATGTTCCTACTAGTTGGTCCTTTTCTCTCTGACTTTTCCTACAAATTGTAGAATTGAACGTGTAGGATGCGTACGCAAATAGAGGAGAATACTATGTGTGATCTGAAACATGAAACGGAGCAGGTGGCCATTGTGACAAACTTCATTCAACAAGCGTGGACCGAACGCGAGAGCATCCGACGTTTGCCATAAATTACAAACTCGTATAGCTCGATTAATTCCCGCGAGAGTCGGCGTGGTCCGTTTCGAAACGTGTCGCTTCGAAAATAAATAACTTCTACGCAGCGGCTGAAAATATGAATGTTAGCCAGCGCGAATATTTGTTAGATCGGCAAAAGGGGGACTTAGAAATTGTTAGCAATACGGGACTTAAATTTGAAAATTCCGAGACTGAAAATTTTCAAAAATATGATATGTTGAAATAGGGAATTAGAAAATTTTCTGCCAATTTTTTTACTTGTAAAAATTTATCCGGAGAGTCGGTGACGCACGGTGGTCCGGAACTAAAGTTTAATTGTTCAGCAAAATAATTCGTAATATTTTGAGTATTATTGCAAAAATCTGTTATTTAATTTTCTTTACCAATTTAGGACTTTATAGTAGCTTCTTAATGCATCACGTAGTCCTAGCAAAGGACAGACTTTAAACAATACAATTTTCTTCAAAGGACAAAGTGGGACACGATTCTGGCATGATTATATAGGGAAAAGTATGATAAAAATTGGGCCTCTCTCCATGGTCCGTCATTTCCAAATCTTCCACCAATCTGACTTTCAATAAATTCTACCATTTTTACAGTTTTCTATTGGCTCTTCCAAACAGTGAAAAAATGCACTATACTATTTGAAATTCAAAAGATATTTGGTTTCAATTATTGGTACTATTTTTAAGATAAATTATAAACAATGGATCCTAATTCAAATACTATTCATTTACAAAACAAAGAAAAAAAATAGGCACACAATAATTAATAGACTTTGCAGGTCATTAATAAAAAAAAAAAGTAATTTTTTTAGTGAATAATGATGTTAATTAAATGTTGATGTTTAAACGATTTAATAAATTTTATTAATATCATAATTGTCAAAAGTGATAGACATTTGAAGAGCTAAATATATTCGATAAACATCTAAATGAGGAAATTAATTTCTAGCAAATGAACAGCTAATTATTCGATTTGGACCAGCATGCAACGTCCCAAAAATGATTCCTTAGATGAACCAATGCTAAACTTCCGGTTGCCTTATTATCAGAGAAGTAAGAAGGTAGTGCCATTTGCAGGGCAACTGTGACCGCATCGCTTAGTCAGGCAAATAGTTGAAGTAGCAGGGCCGAGCAAGGCGGACTAAACTCTCGGCAAACTCGACGAGATGCACTCGGCTTTGCATTAATAAAACATGTGGCTGGCTCAGCTTTCGCGAGTATTCAACGACTCGGGGAAGCTCGGGTCGATGGTACGAACAGCTTGCGAGCGAAATCATCCGAATTTCACTGTGGCTTTCCTTTAAGCTTTGGTTCACTTCCGATATCTCGGCAAGTAAGCACTTCGGTGTAACTAAGAATCTTGGAGGAGGATGAGGAGGAATCGAGCGCTTTTATGGAGAATCTAAATGTTTTTTTTTATATAATAAAAAAATTAACGTTGCTTACCAAAGGAAAAATGGCAGCCAACAAAGGAGGAACGCGCCCATTATTATCCCGAGCGTCCTCGCAGCTTTGTGTTCGGCTCTCCAGCTCTTCGTTTGTTGCCGTATCGAAGTGCCTGAAAAATCATAAATCCCTGTTAATTATTCAAACTTAATTATAGTTGCAATGATATTTAACCCTTGAACAGCGGAGCCTGCTACCAGAAAGTTAAATATATAATTTTTAAACAGAAGAGATTTATGTATTAGAAGAATTAGAATTGTGGCTCTCTCCATGGTCCGCCGTTTGAAAGTCAAATATATTATACTCCTCCACTCAATTTCTTCGATTTAATATTATTAAAAAAATTAATATTAATTATAAATTAATTATAAATTAAAGTCATGTATTGGAAGAATTAGAATTGTCGCTCTCTCCATGGTCCGCCGTTTGAAAGTCAAATATATTATACTCCTCCGCTCAATTTCTTCGATTTAATATTATTAAATATTATTATTAAATTAATTAATATTAATTATAAATTAATTATAAATTAAATTAATATTTCAAAGTCTATTTCTTTGCAAAAAAATTTTAGATTTCGTCTTTTAGAATTTCTAAGAAGTAAGTGGTTATATAAGAAGCGAAGAAATGAAAGAAGTGTTGCATGGAAATTTCTTTACTAACTGATAGACGTTTATCACATAAAAAGACTCTCAACTCCGACTTGTGAAAAGGTGTGCTGCTATGTGAAGAACTTGAAAGTTTTTTATGAACCGAGAAAATAAGAGGAAAGACAAGATGTCGCGTCAAAGAATTTCAATTTGTGCGCATGAAAGGGTGTAGTATCGTCTGAAGAACTTTCAACTTTTTCTCGAGCATAAATATGGTGTTACATTGACGCTTTTTTAAATTAAAAATCTTCTAAACGGCATTCGAAATAAATACATTAAGAAAGATTTTCTCAATAGAAAATAATTAAAGTTGCAGTTGAAAATAATTATTTTCATTAATATCCATCAATGTCGACGGTGTTATTAATATCATAAAACATCCTGGTGATTGTGCAACGAACGTTGACGAGACCGTGTCGATAATTAATTTCAATTCCAATACGATTCGTTAGAGAACGAATATTATTGAGTAAACTCGTATTTGTTGCGGCTCCGATTCTCGGGATATTTTTAATCCCATTAATTAGCCCGATAAATATTTTCCCGTACGTAATTACGCCGAGATAAAGCGTGAGAGAATATTAATAAAGCCGCATCGATGCGCAATCGAGACGCTTCTTCGTGGGCGTCGATCAAATGAAAACGCCCTCGTTTCGGTGTAACCGAGCTGCGATTTATTTAAACACGTTAATTATCGCGATGATGTTCATTTGTTTGGTACACCGAAGGAATTCAGGCGTTATTTCATGTAAATTTCCGAGAGCATTACACTTAAACTTTAAATTAACAGGGTGAAATGGGGCGATTTCCGGTTGAAAATAAACTGTTTTCATATACTGAGTTTTGTTTGCAGGAAATTTGAAAATTTACTATTACAAACTCCGAAGATTATGTAATAGTGTAATGGTATAATAAAATTATTAAATAACATCACCTGGAATGGTCATTTTTAGATTAAGAAATTTATATAAATTTTAATAGCTTTGCTTTAAAATTTTAATATATTAACTAGGCAATACGGAATTACTTTATTAACATTTATAACTGTAAATTAACTCTCTATTTTTATTTCTATGTTTATATACAGTGAGAGGTAAAAATAAGTACAGACGGTTCAAAATAGAATACCTCGGTTAAAATTGGACTAAATAACTTGAGGTTTTTTGAGAAGCTATAAAAATGAATTCAGTAAAATATGTATTTCCATCGTTTTAAAAAAATACAATTTGTTGAAATCGTGAAAAAAAAATAGTGAATGGTAATTTTTCAACTTTTTAAGTGTCTACTTATTTTTACCTCTCATTGTATTCAGTTGAGTAGAGGGAAGCTGTTTCTGGGGACAAGATCAAGGGCCCCCTTACCAGCAGTGCGTAAGAAATAATTAATGGAATTACCGAAAGAAAATTGGAAAAAAATTTATACGATGTAGAAAAGGGGAAAAATTGTCAAAACAACTCCCGCCGTCTTCGGACTCTCTCCATGGTCCGCCGCGTCGACTTGGGGAGTCTCTCCATGGTCCGCCGTACGAAGATCAAAAAACCCATTATATTCTATTATATTTCTTCCTATTTTTTAGGAAAAGGATCAATCATTCTAATGGGTTCAACAACTGTATACTACGCGAAGAATTCTCACGTGATTTCGAAACGCTATGAATTCGTCAGGCTGTTCGATAGGCTGGCAAGTAATTGCACGTGTACATACACTTAAACCGTGCATACCGTACAAGCTGCAGTCAGCTGCATCTTGATAGACGAGCACATCGATTGCACGAAAACGGAGAAGCCAGTGAGCATCGACCAACCAACCTAGATCTGCCTTTCTCACTGCTTGCCATCACGCGAATCCTTCGGTTCTCTCACCTCTACCACATTCCTCGTCTAACAATTCGAATTATCTAGTCCTACTACTGTCTATGGGAACCTTTGGCTAGTTTTCATGCAATCAGGAGATTCTCCATTCTCTCAGATTGAATCAATAAATCGTTCTTACAATTAGACGAGTAGCAAACTTAATAAATTTCTTCAAATTTCTTAGCGTTTCATTGAAAAAAGTATGTGAAAACATCTGCTGGCCTTGGTCGAATTAAATGAATGCAAAAATATTCTGAATGCAAGGAGCGCATAATTGGAAAGAAACTGGAATTTCGTTGAAAGAAACGGAAGAATTCGGATGTTTCTCAACGAACTTGTCTGAAATATGTGAAAGTGTCGATTCAGACGTGTCTAATGAATGCTGGTATACTGCCTTCGCAGAAGAAATAAATAAATAGGAGGAACAGTGAAATAAATTGAAAAGGTTGACTAGGGTAAGGTGTAGCAGTGGAGAACTCTGAAGGAGACATAACGATAGTCGTCAATCTGGCTATACATCGAATAAGAAGACTATTCATGCTCAGGGATTCATTGTCGTATTTTCTGAAACAAAAGGATTCAATCTAATATAAGAAGATTCTACCAGTAAAATTAATGGGAACATTATTAAGATTAAAAAGTTTCAATGGGATTTTTTATAGGAATCCATCATTCACATTATTAGGAATTCTTTAATTTACCTAATTACAGTGTACTCTCTTTATATTGCCAGGAGGATGATTTAACTATGATGGCACCATCATAGTCTATGAAGATGATACATTTCTATTTCTCCAAACTTCTTCAAATAAAAACATGGAAGTTTAAAAAAATGTTCGACTCCCATAACCCCATCTGCGGCGATATAACGAGAGTCTATGGTAGAAGTATTTATATTGAGTGTTCGAAATGATGAATAATGAGAACGATGAAATAAAGAATAAAAATTAAAATTTTGATCAATTTAAATTGATCCATGATCCATGCCTCTAAATTGATTAAAATATGAAATTTTAGATTTATAAATAATATCAAAAAATTCTAAATTACTGATTCCAATAAATAACAATAAACCTTATTTAAAAATTTTACAGAAATAAAATAAAATATTGCATTTGCAGTCTAACAATCCCTAGATCCAGTTATACTTTATTGAAAATTAAATCTTTTGCAGTATATGAAAATTTTTTTCTACGAACCTTGTATTACTCCCCTAACAAACTTTAATCCCACAAACTCAAGTGTTTGCATTCATAAAAAAGGGATTTGCAAGTTACCAAGAAAGGTCTCATGAAATCCTCGATGATTCTGTCTCGAGGTTCCACGTGGACTTAATGAAACGCATCCCCTTTTCCCCTTTTTAAAAGAAGAGAGCCTTCCCCGAGTCATGTATTGAATCAATCTTCTCGTCCAACGACGAGATACTAGAGAAAGATTGGATAGCTGAAAAGGAGAACAGTTCGAAGACCATCCTTCTTGTAAGACATCGTTTGTCGCCTAACAAATTGCATTAGAGACCTGAATTAATGTCATTCTTCTTCGTCGCGTTTGTTATTGAAGGAGAAACGGACTCGTTCTTGCGGGTCACGTCGACTCACCATGGAGACAAACTGTCTGCTGCCGATCTTACCACTCAGCAGTATCGTCGACTTCCTGTTCCGACTGTTGGGGTTGAAAGGAACACGTTCGACGAATAGAAATTACTTTTTATCGATTAATAGCTGGGACGATACGTGTCTTTTATGACATTAACGAAATGGGACTACGGAAATCTGTTTATTGTCGATTAGAAATTGACTGGAAGTCGTTGGCAATAAAATAGGGTGGTTCTTGGGGGTGGACCATAAAATTTTAGGGGAGGATTTTAGAATTTTAGAATATTGAAAATTTTGGAATTGTGTAATATTAAAATTTTGAAATTTTGAAGTATTGGAATATTGGAATTCTGGAATACTGGAATATTGAAATATTGGAGTTCTGAAATTCTGGAATATTGCAAGTTTGGAATACTGTAATTTTAGAATAATGCAATTCTGGAATATTGGAATATTAGAACTTTTGAATTTTGAAATATTAGAATATTGGAATTCTGGAATATTGGAATTTTGAAATATTAGAATATTGGAATTCTGGAATATTGGAATTTTGAAATATTAGAATTTTGGAATTCTGGAATACTGGAATACTGGAATATTGCAATTCTGGAATATTGTAAAACTGAAATAGTGGAGTTCTGAAAGTTTTGAATATTGGAATTTTGAAATATTAAAATTTTGGAATTCAGAAATCTAAAAATTTCAAAATAGCAAAGAGGCTAAGCCAGCAGAAGCGTCAAGCAATTGTATAATTTATTGCTAATAAAATAAATTATATTATTTCTTTTTTACTACTATAAGAACACGTTAAATACATAATATATTGTCGCCGTTATACTGTAAATAAATAACCGGCTTTATTCGATTCCTTTTAAAAACACACACTGCGAATAAATTCACGAATGAGAATTATTATAAAACCACATTTTTGTCGCTGAAAACGTTCGTTTACACTCTTTTGCTCATTTTTCAGCTGTTCGTTTACGGAGTTGCTCAACTTTACACACCGGAATG